ACAGGATAGAAGTGTTAAAGACAAAAGCGGATATACTAGTGATGAATCATGAGCAGCAGTGCTCTGGAGGCGGGGGAGACAGAGCATTGCGTCTGCAGAGACTAGAGCATTTAGAACTCAGAATTCTGAGAGTGGTCGGAAGGCAGGAGGCCGTACAGCCAGAACCAGATAAGTCAGACTAGAGTGTAAAAAATGGCTCTATGGGTGAGACACAACGATACATGTCTCATAGCTATCGTTTACCGCCCCCCCAACGTCCACTCTGGAAATGGATTCCTGCTTGATCCGTGGCCTAAACAGAGTAACCCGCACTAGGTATAGCCACACTCTCATCTCCGGGGACTTCAATCTACACAATCTGGAGGTTTCGGCATCGCCCAGTGAGCAGTTCAAAGCAGACTTGCAGGAACTGATCGCTAATATCCCTTTGTACAATCATGTCACCACGCCCACTAGATTCAGGACAGCAAACAAACCGTCCATATTGGACCTTGTGCTCACAAATGAAGAGCTCATGATTGAGAAGTTATTGATGGATAGTCCATTAGGTCTCAGCGACCACGTAGTAATAACTTTTGACTATGTGTGTTATGCAGAGTATCCAGCTGAGCAATCGGAACTAACTCATAAAATCACACGCTACCACGTATTGAAAGAACTAGCTGACGAAGCTGCTTGGGAATTCTCAAACGAAAGTCCCCTTGACAACGTTTGGGCAGAGTTCGTTAATAAGCTCAGCGACATCGTCAACAAAGCATCAGAGACCAAACCCCTTCGTCCCGCGAAAATGCCTTCAATTATAAGGAGTAGGACTCGCAAATGCCTGGCGATAAGGGATGCAGCATGGCGTGCCTACAAGATTAACCCAGACTCAGAGACTTGGGGAAATTTCCTGACCCATCGCAACCATTGCACCGCACTTGTCCGTGAGGACAAAATAACGTATCAACAGTGTCTAGCCAAAAAGTTCATGGCAAACAACAAACTGCTGTATAAGCATGTCAATAAGCTTCGTAAAGTGAAGCATGGAATACCCCCACTATTCACGACAGGCGGTAGAGTACAAAGCGCCGAAGAAGCAGCTAATGCACTGCGGCTGCAATACGCCCCAATTTTTGAACTCGCAACATCTACCTGTCCCATAATATCAAGCTCATTACCGACATCTTTGTTTACAAATGTTATTTTCAACCCATCAATTGTGCTAAGGAAGTTACTCTCACTGCGCGAACATAGTTCTCCGGGAGCAGACAACATCCGCCCGAAGGCACTGAAGGCTGTGGCTAATAAGCTAGCTGAACCACTGTCACAGTTCTTTCAAAGGTGCTTTGATGAACAACGAGTCCCCACTATGTGGAAGTGTGGCATTATAACCCCTATTTTTAAAGGCGGTAGCCGTTCCGATCCTGCAAACTATCGTCCAGTGACTCTCCTCCCTGTGCTCGCGAAGGTGATGGAAGCAGTCGTCGCTGAGGCTTTGATGGACTATCTGGAAAAATGCAACATCTTGGTAGTGGAACAGCATGGCTTCCGTCAACACCGGTCATGCACCACCAACCTACTTATTGCTCGAGGTAGTTGGACGGAAGTGGCCGATGATGGGGTCGGAGTCGACGTCATCTATCTGGACTTTTCCAAAGCTTTCGACCGCCTCGATCACCGCATCCTACTTCAACGGCTTCAGAGTTACGGAATCGGAGATCCTGTACTTGGTTGGATTGGCAACTTCCTTTACCAACGAAAGCTCCAAGTACGTGTTAGAGGATCACTTGCTAACCCAATTGAGGTGGAATGTGGTGTCCCGCAAGGCTCAGTGCTGGGACCGCGCTTATTCCTGGTGTTTATCAACGACCTGGCAAGAGTCATTTCCTCAAACTTCCTGCTTTTCGCCGATGACGTCAAGATATGGCGGGCGATTAGTAACAAGGCAGATCAGCATCTGCTCCAACATGACCTAGATTGCATTTACGAATGGTCAAAGAGTAACAAGCTTCAATTGAACATGGCTAAGTGCAAAGTGATGCATCTGCGTCACCAGCTGGTGAGCGCCTACAAGATTGGAGACCACACCTTGGCAAAGGTTTCTCATGAGCGGGACCTGGGTGTATTGGTACAGGAAGATCTCGGGTGTTCCAAACAAGCAGAGAAGGCGACGAGAACCGGAAATCAACACTACGGCCTTCTTCGCAGAGCCTTCGGTCGGTTTGAACCGTCAATATTTCCCCAAATGCTTAACGCCTACGTGCGCCCGCATGTGGAATATGCTATTCAGGCGTGGCAGCCGTGGCAGAAACAGGATCTCATTGCTCTCGAGACTCCTCAACGACGGGCAACCAAGAACGTCAGGGGCCTCTTTCATCTGCCCTATCAGCTTAGACTGAAATCTCTAAGAATGTACAGCAGTCGATATCGGCTTTTGCGGGGGGATCTCATTATGGTTTACCAGATTCTGAAGAACCCAAACCACATTTGCCGTCCGCTGCTGGAATTGAACCCCAACATTAAACTAAGAGGTCACCCTCTGAAACTGACAATTCATTACAGCCGGCTTGAATGCCGTAGAAATTTCTTTTCTCTCCGCGTGTGTGAGCCTTGGAATGCCCTCCCTAATTATGTCGTCTCTGCTCCCAATCTGGCGATATTTAAAAAACGTGTTGACGATGCGTTGTCTCACTTACATTTCATGTTATGACTTGTTAGCCAGGGGCTACAAAACGCAATCAAACGGTTTCTTGCCAAACGCTCAACCATTGGATTTATGGATTTTTATGTTTAATACGCGAACATCTCCGCTATTTCACATAAGTCTATGGTGAGTCCACCACAACGCTTTTCACTTTTTTATGCAATTTATTTTCGCAATAATTTCCATCCCACGGGACTTGTTAAGCGATGCTTTTTTACCCGTAATAAACCATTGTCCATTGTCCATTGTCCATTATTCAATGTTGCAGTGGACGGCTCCGGTGTGGACAAGAAAAACGGCTACAACAAAATGAAGCTGTTAAGTAATCCGCAGCTTTGATCATTGAAAGCTGATTGGAGCGCCGGGCGCGATTAAAACAAGAGTTCGTCATTCAATGTTAGGCAAAAAGATCATTTGGATTGTCTGTTACTTCTAAGATACTTGCACCTGTGGTTCTTCATAGACTTGCTGGCACATGTGAAAGCCGGACTCGAGAGTAACAAAGCGGGTTTCATCGAAGTCAATTGCTGGATCACCGCCATAATTATTGGCGAGTCACCGTAGTCGTGTTCGTTAACATCAAAGGTGCCTTCGGTTCGGTTGACCGATGTGCCCTTTTGGCTGCATACTGAAGAAGGGTGCACCTGAGAAATATGTAAATGTCATAAGAGCGCTGTACGCGCATAGTTGGGGCAGAGTGAGGGTTTACGGCAAGCTGTCACCGTCTTTCAATATCTCCAGAAGTGTGAGACAAGAATTCCCGTTGTCACTTTTCCTGTTAAACTTCCCCATCGAGATCATGGAAACTGTGTTCGCTGGACATGATCTACAAGGCGTATTGTTCCCAACTGAACGACTTCTTGACTTGGAGTACGTAGACGACATTATCCTTATCCTTGACAGATTTCAAACATGCAAAATGGAAACGGCTGTCAGCCGTTTTGGGTTATGCTTTGCAACCTCGAAATACAAAGTGTTTCTCCGAGATTGGCAGGGACCCACCTATGAGCTGACCGCTGGTGGAAATCAGCTAGAAGTTCTCGAGAAATTCAAGTGTCTAAGCAGCTATATCAGCGCCAATAGAACAGATGAGATCACAAACTGCACAGCAAAAGCAGGAGGCGCTTTTGATAATCTCCGCCAAGTGTGACACCGGCGCGATAGCACACTTGCGCTGAAGGGCAGTTTACAACGCAGCCGTTCGTTCAACCCTGTTGTGTGGTTGCGAAACTTGGTCCATCAGACCGACAGACACAGAGGCTACTCACGTTAGATCATCGCTGCCTTCGCGGCTTAGCTCATGTCTGGTGAGAGTCCCGCGTGAGCAATTAGTGTTCGGCGACGTGTATTTGGTGCAGGAAGAGCGAGTGAACCGCTCAGCACGATTATACTACACACCAGACTCCGATGGGAAGACTGTGTTGCGCATAATAGCCCACCGACTCCCGCGACGTGTGTTGTCTCCGGGGTGGGAGGTGTGGATGGAAGAACAGGAGAGGTGGCCAAGCGATGACTTAATCAAGGGGAATGAAATCTCTCACTTCGAAGTTGGACTCGGTTGATGTGTCCCGACTGCCTAGCCGGGGTCCGAAGAACGTGGAACACGTTTGGTTCGATACAATAGTTGACATGGCAAGGAACCTACCGCAATGGCGTTCGAGTTGTGCTTTTCTTTGTTTCTCCGCATCCCGCTTATCTTCCCTCAAATCTCGATCTCCCTCTTGACGCGTAATATGTTACTGGGTATGCTGTCGCATGTTTGTTTTAGTACTCTAGAATTTTCAGCATTTTGCTTTTTTTCATTTATCATATCTTTATGCACTGAGGCACAGTATGGTTTCTTATCTTTAGCTTGTGTGTAATGATGACGATGATGATGTGGGAATGTCAGTGCTGGCTGGATAACGAGTGCAGCATATCTTTAGTTCATCGGTGCCAGAAGCAATAAACGGGTGGCCAATAGATGAAGTGGAAAAATAGTTTGAGGGCATTCAAAAAGGGGTTGAGATGGGTAATCTTATGCAATTTGCAGAAAACAGAACAGAGCAGTGGTCAGATACGAGTAAATATGAAGTAATACTGATCCAACAGCACTCTTGACTCGTTTCCTAATCACCTTAACTGATGGTTTCACCTTGCAGGCCATTTTTTACTGGAGCAACAATATGTATGTTAGAGGCAAATTAATGAACTGTGCTCTAGTGCACTAAACTAAAGTGAACTGATGCAGCAGAAACACCTCCGAACGGATGCAATCAATACTAAGCCGAAGAAGTGGAGTCAGTTCGGTAACAATGTGATTCGTAAATCTCACCTTCCGTGGGGATGATCACTTCTGGAGTCGCCTGCTGAGTTCAAGTGCATTCTGCCGGTCTAGTTGTGTTAGGACACACAGGTTGAACGCAGTTGAGCAAACAGCGCAGTATGAGCAGATCAACGGTCTTCACCGATAAGTAAATCGACATGGATATTGATAACAAAACGTCTGTAGTACTTCATCTGTGGGCTGAGAACTATAGATGTGACGAATTTCCACCTATATAGAAGAAATGTTAACAACCAGAATCAGAGGAGTTAAAAGTGGAACGAAAGATAGAGATGAGCAGCATAAGCAGTGGATTGTTTTTCTTTTATCCGTTCTGGTGTATGCCCTATCTGCATTCATCATCGGTGGTAAGACGCTGGAATTTGTAAAGAATTTTGTCTACCTGGGAAACTACATCACTGCTGGTGGGGCTGTTGCAGACGAGATTTCGGTGCGCATCTCAAGAGCCCGTTTCGCCTTCTCCAGGCTCAGGCATTTATGAAGCCGCCATGACATCCGTCTATCCATCAAAGGGCGGGTTTATATTGCTACCGTCCGCGCTGTACTGTTGTACGGTTGCAAGACTTGGCCTGCGCCGACTCTGTTTTCGAGAACCGTTGCTTGCGGTCAATCGCCCGTGTGTGGCGGCTGCACCACGTAACCAACGTAGAAGTTGGACAGCGTGTCTTGAGTGGAGGCAGCCACTCCCTTGAGGCGCTTGTCTCTCTGCGCTAACTACGCCGGTTCGGACAAGTACGGCGTATGCCCGTTCAGCGTCTTCCGGGTCGTGCCTTGTTTGCGGTCGCTGGACAAGGGTGGAGGCGGCGGCGTGGTAGACAACCAACGACCTGGAGAAGCAGGATGAAAACGCTGACAAAACCGCTGGCATCGGTCGATTCTTCTAGACTTCCTGGATGGGATCCCAAAGACGCTGAGTGCCACTGGTTGGAAACCCTGGAAGACATGGCTCAAAACCGAACTCAGCGGCGGTCGTGTTGCGGTGATTACCATTCCCTCCCCCAATAAAAACATCAAAAAGCTCAAAAAAGGGAGTGGAAGAGTGGACAAAAATATAAAGTTTGCTTTCTGCTTTTCTCTAATCCTGTTTTCTTATTCCGCCATGGTTCTGATCGCACAATATCTGTACACAGATTGTGATCATTATATATACAGCAGAAACCGCTTTATTGCTCACACTGTTTATAGTCCATCTTGCTTTATTGCCCAGTTTTTCAAAAGACAAATTCTTTTCTCTTAAATATGCTGAATTTTCAACGTCTAATTGTCCATTGCCGGAGTTGTCCTACCGTTTAATTGCTCAGCTGCGTGGGCTGTGCGCATGTCACTTTGTCAATTTTGTGCCCTCGCTCCAAATAACTTTCGTTACGATTACTCCACAGCTAGCCAGTCCAATGGAATCAAGAGCAACAAGGATGTCAGTGGTATTATTGACAGATCAGAATACGTTGTCTACATCATTCAATCCACGACCAAGCGAAATGCACAAACGGATGCGCACAAGTCCTCGGCCCAATTAAAAACTCGAGAACTGAACAAGTCAGGCAATCTTGCCGCTCCACATTTGTCAGTATCCTATTGGTTACACACATGTGTAGCCAGTAACAGAAAGGAGTTGCCCTTGACAGAAAAGTTGGACGTTTGGACCAACTTAAAAGTGTTTCACCAGAAACCTCGCAAAACAAGTTGTTGCGTGATTTACACATTTCTCCTCGTATCCTGGACAGGTTGATTGCCAGCGAAAAGAAACTCTAGAAGAAGCTGTCGCATGGCACTGCAAGCTCCCAGAAAAGGAAGCGATGTGGAAAGGATGAAGAAGTTAAAACTGCATTGAAGGTGTGGATGATATCGGTTCTTGAGCACTACCAAACAGTTACAGGCCAGCTGCTGAAGAAAAAGGCAGAAGAATTCGGAGAGACTTGGAAAAAACTCTGATGCCACAGAAGTAGGGTTGCAAAGATGGAAGAGTAGAAGTCAAATTGTGTATGAACGTGCGCATGTCGAAAAGAGCTCCGCGGACAGAACCGTCTGTGAAAATTGGCTAAAAGATTGACTTCCTGAACTTTTAAATGCATTTGGTGATGGCGAGGTGTGAAATGCAGATGAACCAGGTCCTTTTTACAGAGCAACTAAAGAGGGCACTTTGTGTTTTTCTGCCAACAAGTTCAGCGGATCGGAAAATGCCAAGGATGGGATCTCTCCCGTGCGGCACGAATACGTCAGGCATGGGTTGAAAAATGGTTTCGATTGGAAAACCTAAGAAACCACGAGGTTTTAATGGCGTGAACGTGGACCCACTTCCCGTATATTACAAAGCTAACAAAAATGTGTGGATGACGAAAGAACTTTTCATCGAGTGGGTCTTCCAATGGGACAAGAAGCTAGGCCAAAATATTAGGTTGCTTTTGGATAATTGCACAGCGCATCAACAGGGAAAAGGCCTGAAAAATATACGAATGGAATTTTTGCCGACAAACATGACCAGCATTCTTCAACCCACAGACCAAGGTGTGATGATGTATCTGAAAATCCATTGCGGAAAAGAAATCGTGGACTGCAGCCTTTATCACATCGAAAACAACGTGTGATCTGGTTCATCCTAAGCGCTGGATGTGAGCGCAAAGATTTCTGTGCTTGATTCAATTCAGTACGTTGCAAAAGGTTGGAGACAGGTTACCGGTGAAACAATAAAAGCATGCCGAAGGCATGCTGGCTTCAGTCGACTAGCATCCGATGAACAAGCTGAGACGCCGTCATCGCTGAGGACGAGATCAACGCTTGCATAATCACAATCATCAATTCAGATGAGTCCGTCGCCATTGATAACGATGCGGAATGTACCTCAGGTCTGACAACTGTTGAAGATGAAATCGACAGTAAAACTGTAGAGAATCAACAGGAACAGACAAAAGGCAGCGACTCAGAGGATGACGTACTAAATATCTCCGTAAGTAACAGCAATCAGCGAGTGTCGCATTCAAGAGCAAATAACTTTGTGAATGATCTGCACAGCAACGGACTTTCGCGTGGGTTAGGCAAGGATTTCTTGTCCAAATTGAACTTCATCAGTGTAACAGTGACTGGAGTAGCAGCTCAAAATAATATACAACTAAAATTGGATTGTTTTCTTGTAAAAAATTTATAGCTTTATAGCTATCCAGGTAAGATGCATCGTCATAATTTTTAAATGGGTCATGCTTTTCCGAATAATCTTCTTTTGTTTCAAGTAAGTATTTTATACCTCTTAGCACGTTACAATTCAGGTGATTTACTGTATAATAACTCAATGGTTGTTTCCCTTTTGGAAAGAATGGCAACATCGGTTAATTGCCCGCCCCGCTTTATTAACCACTTTTGAAATATCCAGATGGTGGGCGATAAAGCGGGTTCGAATATATATATATATATATATATATATATATATATATATATAGAGTGAGAGAGAGAGAGAGAGAGAGAGAGAGAGAGAGAGAGAGAGAATGTAGCAAAAACGACAACTGCTCGAATCTATATGTTCGTTGATGAAATACGAGGACGATTGGTGAAAATTTGTGCCCGGAGAGTGACATGATATTTAAACCTTAAAAGAGACGATTGATACCATCAACCAAAAACTCTGGCTCAAAACTGAAGGCAAAACGATGGGAAGTTGGCGACGGATCATAAAATGCGTAATATCCCTAGAGATAGGTGCGATCCAACCACGAAGTTGCAAGACCATTGAGCTAGCTGGCAAGAGTGCCTATTAAAGTGCCCAGGGGTGCTATATAATACAGCGAAATGGACTGGTGAGGCACGTAACCCACCATACCAAGTCAAAGATGGCGCTAAATGGCAACATATATGGAACGAATACATGCGCATCGGGAAGTAAAGGCCATGAAAATATTTTTGAACGGCTGCGCTTCGGAAGTACATGATTTCGAGAACGTACAGTATTGTATTTCATGCGATAGTATAATTCATTATATGAATTATACTATCGCATGAAATGCCATATGTTCATGCTATAGTATAAGTAAATACTGGGTTGCGTATGTAGAAAAGTAAGAAAATGTTTAAAGTGTACCCACACTGAAAACGCTGTGCAACTTTCAAGAAACGCTTAACTGCAGTTGACACTAGTGCTCTGGAGAAAAAAAAAGTAAAAAATAATCGTTCATGTAGTCAATAAACACGTTAACTGCAGGTGGAAAACACCTCAGCTATTGTGCCGAAATACAAACGACAAGAAAAGGAAAACAAACAGTGGCACGTCGGCTGAGTCCTCAGTAATGGATGGACATCGTTCCGGAGAGCTAACAGCTGGCTATCGTGCCGTAAAAAGATTCATAGTATGCCTAACAAGTGAGATCGTGATTGGAGGGGGTTGCTAAGCAGCAGAGTGATGGACAAAGAAACTCACAACACAAACGCCATTGCGGCCTGCTCCATGCCATATCTGCAAATGTGTCCAACCAACCGTGCTCACCGTCCTTAGGGCCCCAGCCAGGCAGTCGGGATGCACCAACCGACGCCAACTTCGAAGTGAGGGTTTTCATTTCTCGCGACCAAGTCATCGCTTGGCCTCCTCTCCACCTCTTCCAACCGCACCCACAACGCGCAAACAATGCACGTCGCGGGAGTCGGTGTGCTGGCATGCGCAACACGTGGCCCAACCATCGGAGCCTGGTGCGTGATGTATTGGTGCTGAGCGGTTCATTCCTTTTTTCTGCACCAAATATGTGACGCCGAACACATTCATTGCTCACGCAGTGCTCCCACCAGACATGAGCTAAGCTGCGAAGGCAGCGATGATCGAATATGACGAGCCTCTTTATGTCTGTCGACCTGATGGGCCAGGTTTCACAACCATATAGGAGAGTTGAACGGACGGCTGCGTTATAAACGCTGCCCTTCAGGGCGAGAGTAATGTCGCGTCTGCACCACGGGTGGCGGAGATTGGCAAAAGCACCTCGAGCATTTGCTATACGGTTCGTAACCTCATCTTCAATGCCACGGGTGCTAATATAGATGTCCAGGTACTTGAATTCCTGAACGACTTCTAGCAGATCACCACCAAGTGTTAGCGCAGGGTTGGGTCCCTGCCAATCTTGGAGAAGTACTTTGCATTTCGATGGAGCAAAGCATAGCCCAAAACGATTGACAGCCAATGCTAATCTGTGCAGTGCCGCTTGGCATGTTTGGGAGCTGTCACAGATTAGGGCAATATCGTCCGCATACTCTAAGAAGTCGATCACCAGGAAGTAGCTCCACACCTTCTAGGTCGTGTCCAGCGAACGCTGTTTCCATGACTTCATCAATAGCGAAGTTGAAGAGGAAAGGTGACAGCGGGCATCCTTGTCTCACACCGCTGGTGATACTGAAGGGTGGCGAGAGTTTGCCATAAACCCTCACCCTGCCCGAACTATGTGCGTACAGCGCTTTGATAATGTTTACATATTTATCAGGCACACCTTTCCTCAACAGACAGTCCCAAAGGGCACATCGATCGACTGAGTCGAAGGCACCTTTTATGTCAAGAAACACGACAACGGTGGGTCGCCAATAAACATGGCGGTGCTCCAACAATTGACGCAAAATGAAGATGTGGTCGATGCAGCCCCGACCTCGACGAAATCCGACTTGCTCTTCATGAATCTGGCTTTCACGAGTGCCAGTCTGTGGAGAATGACAGAGGCAAGCAATTTAGAGGCAATCGAAATTAGACTGACCTCACTACGATTGCCGCATTCCGAACGGGAGTTTCCCTTGAAAATTGGGACAATGACGGAGCGGTTCCAGTCTGTCGGGACTGTCTCCTGCTCCCAAAGTTTCACTAGCAACTCGTGTAAATCGTCTAGTAGAGCAGGTCCCCCGAATTTAAAGAGGGCTGGGGGAACTCTATCTGACCCTGCGGCCTTATGCAATTTCAACAGCCTGTGCGTGAGGGCGGATCCAAGGAGACGACCCAAGGAGAAGGGCGCTCAATGCCCGAAAAAGAAACCGATAACTCAGGTTGGTGAGATTGCCTTGCAAAGTGTTCAACCCAACGCTCCAAGCGTTTTGACAGGCTGTGGATCAGCTGCCCACTCTCGTTGCGTATGGTCTCGCTAACCACCAGGTCTCCTGCTGCCTGTTCCCCGTATCAGACGGAATAACTTACGATGATTACCAACAGTAGCGGCTGTTTCCATCTCAGAGGCACGATGAGACCACGAGATCTCGCGGTCTTTCTTCAGGGTAGCACGTAGTTTTGCCCTGAGATTTTTTCGAGCCTCATTGTATTCGCTTCCAGCCGGAATACGTCGGCGAGCATCCATAAGTTCCAGAGACTGTGTAGAGACCCAATGTCCGGTTCGGCAATTTGCTTTGCCACATGAAGACATGCCTGCTAACAGTAACGTTTGACGAATATGCGACCAGTGATCTTCGACGGTGTTTAGGGGGCGCTTACTCAGCCCAGATGTCAGCGCACTTTGATACACATTCAGAACACCTGGCTTCGCCAGCTGGCTGGTGTCAATCCGTTCACATCGACGTTGCGGAAGTCCACCGAAACGCACCCGGAGGTCGGTGCAGACAAGTGCGTGGTCAGAGTCCACACCCGTGCTCCAAATCGAGCGACAGTTTTGGACACAGCCTCTCCAGCGGTAACTGATCGCGATATGATCGATTTGCGTCCATGGCTGGCCCGAGGCTGGTGGCGGTCAAGTCACGCTTCTACAGCTGCTGTGTCGAAAGTTAGTGCTGCCGAGAAAGAGATGAGCACCTTCACACAGCTGTAGCAATCGCTCACCGTTATTATTACGGGGGCCTACACCATGTTGGCCGCCCAGATGAAGCTCATCAGAGGACAACTTTCCGACTTGGGTGTTTAGATCGCCAGTCAACACCACAGTATCCGTGCTTCTTCTGGAACGAAGGAGCTCGCGAAGTTGCTGATAGAAATCATCTTTTACCGAATCAGTGAAACAGTTTGTAGTGGCGCAGGCCGCAATGACAAACAGGCACCGTTTGTCCCCGCGTGACTTGGTAGCACGGAACGAAACAGCTAATCTAACAATGCACATCCTACAGTTTACCAGGATCCAATCAATCAGGGCAGCTTCAGCCCAGGGACTCAAAACAATGCCGACGCCAACTTGATCGGCATTTGGAGCTGTATCATCGCCAGACAGGCGCAATGAGAATGTGCCGCCAGTGTCGCATGTGGGGGATCGCAGGGTAAGCATGGAGCTCGAATCTTGCAGGCGGTTTCTGATAAACAGCAAATATCGATCGATAGGGTCTCTAGTGTGCTGTCTGTTAGCCAATCTGTAACAAAGTGCGCACGTTGAGGCATGCCAGTCCTAGCGAGACGCGAGGACTCCAAAGGGAAACGGATGGACTGTCGTTGTCCGCTTGGTTGAACATGCACTTGTCGACTGGACTGGAGCGAGGCCCTGCGATTGTGTGTGATTTGAAACTAGAAGACAAGCGACTATTGAAGCAAGCGGGGGAAGGCCGAGAATTAGGGGAGTGAAAATGGAAGGATAAAAGTAAAGTTGGAGTCGGACGATAAGGATGAAGAAGCGCAAGAAGAGGGATAAGAAAACGGGAAGGCCTGAGCAGTAGCATCCATACCCCTATCCACCCTGCTCGATGCAGCAGATAGGGCACCGTTTAGTATCCTCTGCGACGGCCAGAGCATCAAGAAATTGTTACAAGAAAGGTTCATTGTATTGCGTGGGCAGAATACTGTCAGGTTGCCCAGGCCTAGACAGGAGAACGATTAGGGTTCTCAGCCAAAGCCTTCGGTTCAAAAACCTTACCGCAAGGCAGCGGGTTTTGTCACTGGACTACAGAGAGCCCGTTTTATGAAATAAGGAGCCACCCTCATTCCAAACCCCAACCTGGAGGACCAGGAGGCTGAGTTTGTCTGGCGGCTAACCATTGACCAATCTGGTATGAGTGGTTCTGGAGGTGCGAAAAAGCACCATCCAGCATAGCTCAATGGATCTCTGAGGCACGTAAACCATCGCACCACCGTAAGGTCCAGCCTCATTGCGATGGTTCATTAGTCATAGAGAAAGAATACGACCAATAAATAAAAGCAAAGGAGGCAGAATAGGTAAGGGAGGTTAACGAACATGTGCGGGTTACTAGGTGGTATTCTAAAGCCACTCCGCTCAGTGAAGGCCAAACAGACTGGAAGAAGTAGAAGTGAAAGTGTTCGAACCGGATTTGGCTGAACCCGTTCGCACCGTAGCCTTAAGAATCACAAGCCTGCCTTGCAATCCGAGGGCGCAAATTCGAGCCTGCGTAGGAACCGGGCGACCCTCGCAGTATCTTAGCAAACATGCGACTGGTGGTGGTTGCACCGCGGCGAAGCGTCGATACTGCGTACCGATGTACAGCCGATGCCTTTTGACTAAACCCGTTCGCGTGCAGTTTCCTCGAAGAGATACGGGGGAGAGGCAAATTTGGATGGCTGAGTGTCAAAGAAGATGACACGAAATTAAACGGGGCAATGGCATGAAGGAAAAAGACGATTGGAAGGATACCACAAGTGAAATAGCTGAAACGTGATCAATCGGACTATAAAGACCTATTGCACAAATCATCGACTATCATTCTATTGGCTGGTTAAAGATAAGAAACCCTTGGCTATTGTGTTAAAATGCGTAAGCCACATGACTTAACTGGTGTGACTCAATCAACTTCACCTACCTGGACTAGATTCACCGCGGTAGGAAAATCAGCTGAAAGAAGTTGATCGCGAATCAACCTAAAAACACGAAAACAGGGATGCAAAGCTCAAAAAAGCAGGCATGAACAGACAGGGCGACAAAAATGTAACAATGAAGAAAAACAAAGAGAAAACACACACAAAGCACAACACCTGTCAAATGTTAGGTGAACGTGCCAGTGAAGCTGTAACAAGTATTAAACGCCAAGACAACGGATCAGAATTCGCAGAGCACTTCAACATTGAGCAATAAAATAGGAGAAAAGAATACTGAATGTTAGAAAAACAGGGGGTAAAGCAGGAATCAATGTAGGATCGACGATAACGGCCGAGATGTTAGAAACGGAGAAACAGTATATTAATTTAGCAGTTGCAAATTGGCAGAAAGATGGCAGACCGAGAGGAAGCTCGGAAAGTGATTCTCCAAGAAGATGCAGAATAAGAAATAAGCGTTGCAGACAACGGTGAAGAATGGAAGAAAGTGGTAGCTACGGAAAGAGTGTGATGATATCTCGGAAGTGCTTTATAAACTGTTGAACGTGAACACCACAACCGAACGACGTAAGAACCAGCAGTGGTGCACAATTGCGCTTTAAGATGAACTACTTCCACGTTTAACAGTAGCAAGACTTAATATAAACTGGCGCGGAGATGCGATGAGCAATAGCAATGACTAGGAAGGGCACATATACTTGAATGGCGTACCGTTACACACAACGCCATTTCAGGCAGTAAGCAAAATTCTGCAAGTGTTTCGCCACCAAGCAAGGAAATATTGAGGGGAAAAACTACTAGTAACAGGTAGAAGAAAGTTGTCAACGCCAAACGGCCACAAACGGTTTTCGCCATTCCGCGTTATAACTCAACATCATACACGATGTAAACTGGTGACAAGAATAGACCAAGGTAGTGCTGGCGCTTGTAATCCAACTCATAAGTGATATGAATCGCTTAATGATAGGCATAGAAGACTAATGATTACCGGTTCAAATGTCAGTGATGTCAATGATCGACGTGAAGTGAACGATAGTCCTTACCCCAATCCCAAACACAAAAAACAACAGCAGTACATCAGCCACTTGAACTGATGCTTCGCTGTCATACAATCATGAGGACCTATGGAATAAAAAATAGTAAGAGGCAGAGAAAGAGGGTCGTAGCTGAAAACCTTAATGCCCTATGCAAACATTCAGGGTCAAGGTGCCTACACCTTGTGTAGACAACATACTGTCCCAAACAGCTGGCTATCGTGCAAGGATAAGGCGGCATCAGCGAGACAGCTCCCTGCCACGCTTAACCTTTAGCGCGCAGGTAACTCCGCACCAAACGCACCTTAAACAGGCAATCCAATTAGGAGACGGCAGCAGACGCGTCACTGGAGTCCACTGCTAGCCATGTCCTGTAAGCCTCGAGCCAAGCACAAGGCGAGTCACTTGGACTCCAGCCCGAAAGGAGAGACGGAACAACGGCAACCAGTTTGGTCGTTAGTGACTTCATTTCCCGCTGCCAAGTCAACTTCTGTCTACCTCGAGCTTTGAGCCACCCTACACCTGGCAGACTAAACATGGCCCTCCTAGTTAAGCGGTGACCAGACATACGTAGCACGTGCCCAAGCCATGGCAACTTACTTAGTTCTACATCGTGTTCCAAGGAACTAGCTTGATTTTCACTGCTTAGTACTCGCCTACACACATCATCGTTGCGGACATGCTAGTGTCACCCGACACCAGCAACGCTCAGCAGACAACGATGATCACAGACGTGAAGGCACCTCAGATCTTCAGACCGAAGGGGCCAACAACAGCAGGATATCATCCACATAATCAAGATCAGCTAACCTCTCACCAGGCAGGACCTCAACGCCTACATCGCGAGATTGCGCAAAGAAACACTTCATGATGGAGTCCACGACGAAATGGAAATAAAACGGGGAAATCGAACAACCCTGACGAACGCCACTTGTTATCGGTAAGCTATCGGACAGGTCACCGCAGACCCTGACGCGGCCTGTAGTGTTCAGGTATAGAGCACGTAGTGTTCATATATTTAATGGGAACATCTTTCTGCACAAGTATTTCGAACATAATGCACCGATCTACTGAATCGAACACACTTTTGAAGTCAAGGAACACAGCTATTGTCGGTCTGCGGCATGCGTGGCGCTGCTCTAGCACCTGCGTCCAGGACGGAAGCCTGTCTGCTCTTCCCTAACCTGTGATTCTCGCACCGCAGTGAGGCGACGAAGGAGAATCGAGGCCAGTAATTTTGTCACAACAAGCGTTAGGCTAAGACCCCTGTGGTTAGCACAGTCTGTGCAACTACTCTTTTTGTATATTGCCACTATAATCGATCCAATACGGTTAGCCGGGACATTCTCTTCCTTCCAGATATGTTCGAATAGGGAGGCCAGTGGTTTGTAGATGACCTCACCTCCACCCATAAGTAGTAGAGATAGCAAGGAACCCGGGCCAGAAACACGAAAACGACTGAGGACTGTGATCGCGTTTCGGACCTCAGCATCCGATTGAGAATCTAAACTAATCGGCCATGACTCGTCTTGTATCACCTGAGTAAGAAGAGATCCGGGAGCAGGGGGCCAACTGAACAGATCTTGAAAGTGTTCCGCCCAACGAGCCATACGACGCTCCTTATGTGTATCAGTGCACCCGCGCTGTCTCTGATGGTTTTATTGACCCTGGTTTCCTGGGACCGGTGGTGCGGATCAGCTGGAAGAGCTTGCGGTAATTTCCTACTGCTCCTGCCTCCTCCATTTCCCGAGCCCGATTGATCCACCAGGCTTACTTGTCAGTACGCAGCCTCCGCTTTAGTTCGCGCCTAACAGTCCGTCTGGTCACATTGTGCTCAGAGCCCGCTAGGTTTTCTTCTGGATTCCAACAGGTTCACCGACGTCTCGGATATCCAGTGACTGGTGCGGTGGCGATTGATAGTGCCACAATCAGATGCTCCTGCATCGTGCATGGCGGCCGAGATCCTATTCCACTGAAGCACAATGTCATTAGGACAAGACAGCAAAGGATCGGTACGCAGTGCGTCTTGATAGGCTTGCCTGACCGAGGTCTGAGACAATTTTCCAGTTGCCAATCGGAGCAGACGCGTGGTGCACCTCCCGGTAAAGTTAGGGAAAGCGACAGCGAAAGAAGGCATGATCAGAGTCGACGCAGGTATTCCAGTACGAACAGCCACTTGTAACTTATGGCAATGTGATCAATTTGGGTCCATCGCTGGCCAGCTACAGGAGGACGCCAAGTGGCACTTCTGCGCCCACTGTGTCTACAAGCGGTGCTACTAAGAAACAACTGGTGCTCCGCGCACAGTTGCAACAGACGCTCGCCGTTGTCAGTCCGTTCGGAGTTAGGCCCTTAATTACCAACTAGCTGAGCTTCTGAAGAGCTTAGGCGCTCTACTTGTCTGTTCATATCCCTTGCAAGCACTATGATATCTGAACCAGTAGCACTAATCACAAACACGGAATCAGAACAATGCACATCTCGGTAACTAGTGAGAGGGGATAAGTGAGGTTAGGATTTTTTCCATCCTGCTTCGAATCAATGGTAATGCACAAAACTCATACGGTGTTAGTAAGCCCGACTGAGACACAAGAAGATGCTCTGCCGACCAATAAAGTACCAGAAAATTACAGGGTACTAAACAGTATTGTGCGTTATGCAGTTATGAACCTGAACAGATCAGACAGCTGTTGGCTTTATGTGGCCATACGGGGGGGGGGTAAGACTGTAACCAAGATCGCTTGACAAGGAGAGCAGAATGTTCCACTTAAGTGATCGCATATTTTAAGTGGGAATCCGAAGTTTAACAAAAATCCAGAAGGTCACAGATCATACCTGTCGCATCAAATATCTCTTGCATTTCTCCTGTAGGTCTGATTAGTAATGATTTTACTCTCGGTCCATTCTCTTTGGATCTTCATTACCTATCATGTGAACTAGATCAACTGGATCCACCCAACTTCGGTATGCTGCTCATGAATGATCACCGAACTAACATTAATGTACTACCTGATGGACACGAATTGCATGTGGTGGCCGGCTGCGTGCTTTGCGCGCCTCCTCATCACTCAACTCTGCATGTGCTGCACGCTGACAGCAATGTCCAAGAAACGGCAAATAAGATGGGAAAGATGTATGCAGCAACCGAAAAGGAGACTAAGAGTCGCTTCGATGTCTGTTCTTGTTCCGGATGCGCGGAATGTGTTCGGTAATAGCAGAGACCGGAAGCCCGTTCCGGCGCAAAGGAGCCGATCATCGTGCGTCATATTTGCCTGTAACAGTTACGAAAATGAGCAGATTCCGCGGAAAAGCAGCGCATCACACAGCGGTAGACGTACAAGGAGACTTTTGTAATAATTCAGTTGTGTTGGGGGCTGTGAAGGTAATTAATGGTCCGATTGGGAGCAGTGAGAAGAGGGACATAGGAAAACGAACAAGTTTGCCGGAGCAGACGCTTGCATTTTTGCGTCAATTGCTCCAAGGAAATTAAGGGCTGTAGATCAAGGTCGGCTAACAAAGGGATAATAGTTCCGCTAAACGAGGGTCCTAACGCAAAATGGTATTCCATGGTGGACTGAATGTAGTGGTCGTCCGTCACCTGATTTGACGGCTGGCTGGTGATCGGAACTCGAGGTCACTGGCCCCCACAGGAAAATGACCGGTTTCAGACGAGTAGAGAGGAAGCGAGGCGTGTTGGCTGATCGCAGCGTACAATATAAAGGTCAACTGGAACATTCGTGAAGGGTATATAAAGCCTACGTGGAAGCATCTAGAAGGGTCAACTTAAGATCAAGCAAGCGTCACCGCTCTCGTGCTAATTGGCAAGTTTACCCAGTAGACTATATGTTCGTAAATTCCATGGGGGAGAGTGACGGCTCACCGGCCATGCTTTGACTCCGTATCGGCAATCGGCGCCTCGGTTTCTTGCCTAGAAATTTCCTCACTAAGACTGAATTTCTGCACCTCAATTACCTGCGCTTTGCTCTTCATTAATACAAACTAAATGGAGACAGCATTAGGACCACAGCTGTTTAACAGCACCTAAGCGAAGCATTCATATGATAAGAGAAACCGCAGGCGAGTCGGATTTGACCCATACGATTCTGAGGCCTAAGTTTGTGGCTTGCGTGGCTTCCACGGATACAGGAAACAGGCTAGGCAGCAAAGTGACATACACAACAGACGATAGAGGGGTCAAGTAATCCAAAAGCCAGGATGTTCTGCTAATACATTCCATTAAATGAAGCTGACAACGTGGACGAATAGAACGATAATCGATATGCATTCACACCAAACTCAACTGGGATTGAAACGCAGAACCTTTAAATTATACTGAAGAAGCGTGCTTATTCAGTCTCCCCCGCAAGCAGAATGGAGGGCCATTTGGAGTAGGCGTTGTGTGATTGAAATGCGACGCGCAATCCCAATGTGGACCGCGATTCACACTGAAGTGCACCTTGGGCACTGCGATCACTAGAACCGTAGCCGAAGCAGATGGAAAATGGGTGCTGCCCGCTCGAAAACACTACACAACCTTTTAAACTCCTCAGATGAGGGAGAGATCCGAAAAGACCAGGAAGGGATGAGGAGTAGGTACATCCCTTTAGACACTCAAAATAAACACACCGAAAAGAAAGGAGGAATAACAATTCTAATATAAAAATGATTAAGTAGAAGTTTTCCTAGTTACAAAGAAGAACTACGGTGCGTGTGCGATGCCCACAGCATGAGTCACATACGAATTGCATTCAAGAACGGAAACGGCCAACTGGGCGATGGGTCTTTGTTGATCAACTAAGGGCAGCTCGCTAAAGTGCGATAGATAAAGTCGACTTAAATCAGGGGTGTCCAAACTTTTTACAAGGAGGGTCACATTTTGTGGGGTGAATATATGTCGGGCCAATCCAGTCGGACATTAAGATAAGAACAAAAATTACACGTGTACGAAAAAAGTCCAAGCCGGAAGTTATTATTTCATGATGAGGCAGCGGGCCAGTTGAAATGTTAACGCAGGTCGCATTTAGCTTGCGGGCTTGACTTTGGACATCCCTGACCCAAATGAACTAGCGATCCAGCATCAGTTTCTCCAATGGATCCACGTCAACTTCGAGTTCGACCAGGAGAGTCTCTCTGATACAGTATGATACATCCGGGTCCCCGCAGACATCATCATCATCAATACACGTTTGCTGAGGGTGGGAACAACTTAGCTAATGCGCCACAACACAAAATGAATCAGATGCGAAAAAGTACGTACTGCAAAAACCACAATTAGCAAGTAATATAATGTTAAATAGCATATTGGTCCCACAGATTACAGAAGGCGAAAGAAGCGATGGGAAACAAATAGTCCTCCAATACTTAACGTCTACCAACTGTGCCGGTATGCGATGCTATCGGCTTAAGAGACTCCACAACATCCACACATTGCATACCTTGGAATATATGGGCGTGTGCTTATATCATCAGCTAATACCAAGTGGGTGCGGATCAGATATCGTAATTAGGGAAGATGGGTATTTTGGCTGGCATATTTCGAAACGCATACTGGATGCATGTGGTCGGATCTACTCTATAAGTGTATACCTGCATGCATACACATAAATGAAAAAACAGTAGTACATGTCTTTAGAACAAGAAAGAGTCGGTCAAAAATGGAGAAACTTACATCAGCATGGAGCAGCACATGAAAGGCAGCAAGGAAAACCGATGCTCATCTGAGAACAGAGTATCCCAAAGACGAAGCACTTCTGTTAAGAAGAGAAAACGCTGAAACTAGGACCGATACGCAATGCTTTCATCCATTACAGCAGCATAATCAGTGGACAAAGGTCAAGTCATCAACCAGCAAGGACAACACGCCCATCACGAAGGCATGAGGTGGAAAGTGTGAGCAGTTATCGGCCTCACCTGGAAGATTAAATTCTCGTGCCAGCAACAGACTGAACCATCGAAATGCATAATGTTCGGTCTCCAGGCCAATCTTCCTAAGGTGTTCAAAAAGCGGCATATCAAACTGTGCCAGTAGGTCCATCAATAGCCGTAGCTGTCCACCTGTGAACGGAAGATGCATCTATAAGCGAGCTTTGACAGCGTATATACAATCAACCCAAAACGAATAAGCAGTAATTGGCACATAACGCAGAGAATATTGCGGTAAACTAGAGACGTTGCGGCACAATATCTGAGGTGTTTTCCACCTCTATTTAACGTGTATGATGGTAATGAGACGTTGGATCTATTTGTGATTGTGGAGGAAGAAACTGGCAGTGGAATAGAAAGAAAATCAAAGTAAGGCTTCGGTAATGTTAAGCCAGACGAAAACAAGAAAACAGAGCTGTGTAATAAGATGGTTATTTGTGTAACGGTAAGTCTCAAAGTACAGGAACAGGACGTGCGAGGTACTCAAAGTCACATGAACACAGAATCCAAATTATCAATCAATAATTACGGCAGACGGACGCACGCGTTTAGCGTCCAGCCATGCACATCATTTGGGTTCACTGATCCATTCGTTAGGAGGTGCCCCTCCTAACACCTCCCGTTTGAAGTCCACTGTCATATGATTTCAGCCTGGGGTTAACCTGGAGCGGCGTGACAGGAACTCGGCAACGATCGGGCCATCTTCTGGGTCGACAATCGGGTGAAGGAGAGGTTGTTGGATTGATAGGCTTATCTTGCTGAGTAGCCTCTGTTTTTGGTAGTTTGAACTCGTCCAGAAGTAATTCAAGAGGCGTAGTTAGGGCATCTCTTCTGTCAAATGAGATGTAGCTCCTGAGTTGATTGATGTGGCGGATCCATCTGTCATCGCCTACGGCCACTTCATAACAGGCATGGCCATATCTTTTTACAACCATTCCAGGTGTCCAAGAGATTTGGTTGTTCCGATAGTCCTTTGCCAACACTTTCTGTCCAACTTCGAAGTGTCGTGGTATAGCGCGATGCCTTCGGTTGTACTGGTGCTCCATTATCCAGTTTCTTTCGGGATTGGGTCTATCCGGCGGCCTTATTAGATCAAATTTCGTTCGAGGCCTTCTGAGCAGGAGTGATTCTGCTGGGGACTTCCCTTCAGGCGTCTGTGGATTAGGCGTAATCCTGTACGTTAACAGAAAAGTTTGTAGGACCTCTTGGATTGGTCCGTCTCCTTCCGCTTTGAGCAGAGCCCTCTTGAAAGTATCCACAAATCGTTCAGCTTGCCCATTTGACTGTGGATGATAAGGAGGTGAGCGCAAATGCTGCATGCCGTGTACCGCACAGAATTCAGCAAAATGTGAAGAGGTAAACTGGGGTCCATTGTCGGATACTACTGTTTCCGGAAAACCGAACCGACTGAATACTTCCCTGAGGACTGTAATCGTAGCCGACGTTGATGTGTTCGACATTTGGAAGATCTCGGCATTGCTTATGCATCGATGATAAGTAAGTAGTTCTGTCCTTTGATTGGTCCTGCGAAATCAAGGTGAACCCTTGACCATGGTTTCGTGGGCTTTGGCCAGGAGAACAGTTCGCATTTCCGTGGCGATTTTGCTGCTAGGGCACAATTTGAACAGGAACGTGTTAACTCCTCAATTTGAGAATCCATAAACGGCCAGTACACATAACTCCTCGCTAGAGCTTTCATCCTGTTGGAACCGGGGTGTCCAGTATGAAATTGATGTAAGACTTTAGATTGAAGTTCGGCTGGGATGACGACACGTTCACCAAACAAGATACAGTCTTCGACGACCGATAGTGCATTTCGTCTCTGGAACAATTGTTGTAGCTGTGCGTCGGAAAATTTTCGAGGCCACTGTGAGTGGTAAAACGTGCTCACCTGTGACAGCAGCGGGTCCCGTAAGGTGGCGTCTCGAATCTGACTGAAAGATATTGGAAGCTGGCTCACAGTATCCGAGAGTACACGGTTAACTTCCGTTTCGATTGAGACATTTGCAACGACAGTGTCTTCTGGTTGGTGCTGTTCGTCTAACAACCGTGACAGCGCATCGGCCTGACAAATGTCGCTTGATGTTGAAATCGTACCCCAGCAAAGTTGTCGCCCATCTCTGCAGACGATTGGCCGTATATACAGGAATTCCTTTCTTCGAGCCGAATATAGCAAGAAGCGGTTTGTGGTCCGTTAGTAAGGTAAAGTGACGGCCATATAACATTTTGTGGAAATGTTTCACTGCAAACACAATAGCGAGAGCCTCCTTTTCAATTTGACTATACTTTCTTTCTGCTGCTGTCAGTGAACGAGCGGCATGAGCGACTGGCTTCTCAGACCCATCTGGGAAAATGTGGGAGATGACTGCTCCAACTCCATAGCTGGATGCATCCGATGCCACTACAATTGGCAGTTTTGGATCGTAGTGCGTTAGCATCAGTTCTGAGCTTAGTGACAATTTGATGCTGTCGAAGGCTTCCTGACATTCGGTAGTCCAGACCCACGGGACGTCCTTCATCAGCAACCGGTTTAATGGTCCGCGTAGGTCGTGCATGGACGGCAGGTAGGTACCGTAATAACTCACCATACCCAGGAATGATCTCAACGTCGCTACGTCTTTCGGCGGAGGCATTTCCTTGATCGCCTTGATGTTTGATGGATCAGGTCTTCGTCCATTTTGGTCAATGATAAAGCCCAGGTATTTAATGGAGGTCATGAAAAACTCACACTTGTCCATTCGTAGGCGAAAACCATACTCCTTTATTCTGTCAAGCACGAGTTCCGTTCGTTGGTGTAGTTCTTCCTGGTTAGATCCCATGATAATGATATCGTCCAGGTATGCAGCGGCATAAGGTATTCCCTGTAGCATCGTATCCATGATCTGCTGAAAGATTGCCGGGGCCGACTTAACGCCAAATGGTAGGCGTGTATACTGGAATAGTCCTCTGTGAGTGTTAATCGTTAGCAACTCACGCGATTCTTCTGACATTTCAATCTGGAGATATGCGTCTGACAAGTCCAGTTTGACAAAACACTTGCCACCGTTCAGACGTGCAAAAAGGTCCTCAGGGAGGGGTAGAGGGTATTTGTGGTCTTCTAAGGCGGCATTCAGGCCAGTAGAGTAATCTGCACATAAGCGTATCTTTCCGTTTGGTTTCTTGACAATCACAATGGGGGCTGCCCATGAAGAGAAATTCGTCGGTTTGATAACTCCGGTTGACTGTAGTCTGTCAAGTTCTTGGTCGACGATTGAAACCACTGCATATGGAACTGGTCTCTTCGGTCGGAAGACTGGCTTTGCTTCTGGCCGCAGGGAAAGATTGGTCTTGGTTTTCGTGCACAATCCCAGACCATCTTGAAACACCTGCGGATATTTCCGCTGTAAAGACTCCGTCCACTCTGCAGATGCGTCGCTTACTTTGTTGCACACGGAATTCAAGGGAACATCAAGCAGTTTCATATTCTCAATCCAATCGAGACCGAGTAAGTTTAGATCGGGATGTCTCGTTATGTAGCATACCCCTATGAACTGACAATCTTTGAACATTACAGGACAATAGATTTCACCGGCCAAGTCCAGCGGTCCTCCTGAAGCGTTGGTTGCAATCCGAGTTGTTCTTTGAACAGGTGGCTCACCGATTTTCTTCCAAGTTGTCTCGGAAATGAGCGTGATGTCTGAGGCAGTGTCAACTTGGAGGCGTACGGGCACCTGGTTCACAACCACTGTTACGAACCTGCGTTTTGCGGTCCCTGTATCGAAGGTAGCAAAGACAGGATAAATTTGAGGTCTTTGTTTTGTTAACGATGTGGGTACAAACGTCTTGGCAGGTTTGGTGTAAGCGTTCTTGTTGAAAATGGTTGCACGGCAATGATCCTCCTTGTGCCCCCGTTTGTTGCATTTCTGACAAAGATGCTTCTTGAACGGGCAGAATTTGACGAAGTGCCATTCGCCACATTGCCAGCATGCGGATGGTGGTCTGTTTGACTTCAATGAGTTTTGGACCGTCGCTGTACTCCCGCGCTGGTTTGATACCGCCAACACATCCACGGGACATGGACTGTGGCCTTGGGCAATCATGTTCGTATCGTGCTTCAAGTTGATTAACCTCTGGCATTCGGAAGTGATGGACATGAGATTGATGGACGGGTCCTGCTCAATTTTATTAAGCAGCCTCATGCGTATTTCGGCATCCTCGGGCGCTTGGAGACCACAAACGAAAATTAAGGCCTTGAACTGGTCGTCTGACATTTCTTTTAGCCTGAAACGCTCGCAATGACGATTGACGGTACTGGCGTAAGTTACGAAATCGTCTGACGCGCACTTAATGAGCTTCATGCAGCTGTATCGGACGCTGAATAAGGAAGACTGTTCACCAAAAATGTCATTTAGCAGAGGTACAAGTTGGTCAAAGGTAAAATCTTTGGGGCATTTTGGCAAAATAAAATTGAGAAACTTGTCATGCTCCTTGGTTCCCAGCTTCCGCAAAAGCAGTCTGCACTTCCATCCGTCGTCAGCATCAGTGAATTCGGACCGGAAAACGTCTTCGTATCTTCGGAACCAAGATTCGAAGATTAGGCCGGCATCCGGGTCATACTGAAACTCACAAATGCTGTTCGCAATCGCATCCGCTGATGATTGCTGCTTTTCATTGGTTGGTCTTGCTTGAACCGCAAAACGTTGAAAGATATTTTCGAGCAATCGTGTCTGGCTTTCTTTAAATTGCTTCTGTTGATGTTGAAGTATTGCGGTAAGTTGCTCCACTGGAAACGACATAGTTAGTCGTATCTAATCAAACCGTTACCTCCGTCGCCAGATGTTAAGCCAGACGAAAACAGGAAAACAGAGCTATGTAATAAGATGGTTATCTGAGTAACGGTAAGTCCCAAAGTACAGCAAAAGGACGTGCGAGGCACTCAAGGCCACATGAACACAGAATCCAAATTATCAAACAATAATTAGGGCAGACGGACGCAGGCGGTTCATCATCCTCACCATTATACACGTTAGCTAGAGGTGGGAAACACCTCAGCTACTGTGCCGCAATACATAAAGGAAAAGGAAAATAAACACAACAGTTGCATGCCAGCTGAGCTACCAGCAAGGGATAGGCATCGTTCCGGTAAGCTACCA